TAATTATTATTCATTTTTACATTTTGAACTTATGAACATAAATCATTTTTACATAGATATCCAATATATGTTGTTAAATTGTATTGGGGTACGATAAGCAATTTCATCTTCATTACGTAACATTTTGTATATGTCACTTTTTAAATTTCTTAAAATAACATTATTTTTAAAGAAAAACCTAAATAATATTATGGAATATGGATTAAACGAATTTTTCTATAAATTAATAAATATTAATTTATCGATTAATTAATAACTCTATAAATTAATAAATTTTCAAGGTCCCAACATTATTAATTTATAGAGGTTTTACTGTAGTTATTTTCAACACAACCTCTTGGTTAGAGGTTTTGAGTTCGAGTCCAAAAATGAACATGTTTTTGTTTTTACAAAACATGTAAAATGACGTAGTTTTGTCTCACTTAATGACACAGTAAACGGTGTCTAAATTTTCGGTCGACGATTCTGTTGACGGTGTGCTAATTTCGCAAGTCAATGAAAACTTTGCTAATATATTTGAAAGTCAATGAAAGTTTAGGGTTTATTTGTCTACAGAGAAAATTCGTGTCTTTTTTTGGTAATTTGTATAAAATTGGGGAGACCTAAGCAATAAAATTAGTGTATCACCCGTAAAGGCCTAGGCAAAAGGCCCATCAGTATAAGTAGGCCCAAGGTGAAGGTCACTGGGAATACAAAAGAGGATCCATCGACTGAAAACCCTAGGTAGAATTGATTCCCCCAAATTCGACGACGACCCTCGAATTCCCCCCCACACACACAATCCCTTGAAGATGATGCGGTTCGTTGGAAATACCGTTGCTAAGGTAATTGAAAGATCTTGTCTGTTTTTCAAGAGAATTATGTCCGGTTTTTTTCTCTTGTCGATGATCATTGAAATTGTGGGTGCAGTCTTTTCGCAGGGGTATGCAGTATCGTGGTTATTCATCCGGCGGCCGTGAGAATTTTCATATCAATATCTTTTTTGATCCAATCAATTTGTATTCGTTGATATCTGATATTTGCTTCAATCAATTTTGTAGTCTTGACTACCGGCAAGAAAAGTGTTGTTCATAAAAAGAACAAAATTGTTGAATATTGCTTTGTCGGGGCGTCTGGTGGTGTTGGATACGTGTTTGGTACGTAAGATTTGTTTCTCACTATAAAGTTGGTCTTCCTTCTTTTTAACATGTTCGTCTGGTTTGGTTTCTTCAGGTGTTCTGACATTATCGCCGGTGGAAGCAAAAGTTCAGGACATGGAAGAGGTAAATTGATGATGAGATTAGGTTTTTAATCTAAATAAGCTTTTTGTTTTCTTTCTTTCTTACCATTCCTACATAATGATTCGTCTTTTTTTCTCATGTTTGTTTCAGAGGATCATCAGGGACAAGGAGAGTCAGGATTACCTTATCGCGGCGTTTAAACGATATAATAACTAATTATCAGACAATTTGGTTGTTTTGTTATCGGGGGTTGTGTCCCAACCTTGTGTATTATGCTCTTTTGCAAATGGTGTGCTTATGCTAAATACTACCGTAATTGTCTGTTGTTTAATGATTTGAAAAAACTAAAGTTAAAAAATTGCAGATGAGCACGCTTCTTTTATATGCATACATTACTCCTAGTAGAGGTAGCAAGCGTTATTATTATATTACCTTTGTTGATGACTTTTCTAGATATACAAGAGTTTATCTTTCGAGAGCAAAGGATGAAGCATGTGAAATGTTTATGCAATATGAAGCTTGAAGTTGAAAATCAGTTTGATAGGAAAATTAAGAGATTAAGGACTGATAAGAGGTGGAGAATGTGAATCTGAAATTCTTATGTCTTTATGTTTAAAATAAGGTATTATTCATGAGAAAACTGCACCTTATCGTTATGTGTAATAGATAAGCTCAAGCGTAACTCAAACGTTGAAGGATGAGTCGTTACAGCCCATAACATCACACGGGCGTTTGAAAAATACTCCAATTTCAGCACCATGAGTGACCCTCTTAATCAAAACCAAACTCACTGTGCCCATCAGCAAATACCATACCATGTGTAACCGTACTCGCTGTTAGCAACGACGCCATCAGCTCTATCACTAACAGATCCGACGTTGAGCTCAATAACATCCTCATGACTCGACTACTACGATGGCAAGGTTGTGGGACAGAATGCAGTAGATAGGATTGTGATGCAGTTCAACTTAGATTGATGGGTAGTAGAAGAAGAAATCACGAGGCTATTTTTAAAAGACTTTTAGTTATACATAATCTTAATTTTCTGTTTTGTATCATTTTGACCAGGAGATGATGTTAGTTTTACGAGGATGATTATTTTATGTAAGTTTCAGTTCTTGAACAAAACAGAGATCAATGAGAACAAAGAAAGACGATGTTGGTGTTTTTCCTCGCAATACTAAAGATCAGATCAAATCCTATAAAGTATAGCAAGAATTGTTGAAGAGGGAAGAATGTCTGGAACGCCTTTTATTTTAGATTAAAATCTTAAACAGAAAGTCTTGATCATTCAATATAAAGTAAACGAAACAAAGCTGAGAATGTTGTCTCAACAGAAAGAGAGATGATGCGAGCGACTCAAGACAAAACAAGCAAGAAAACTGTTGTTGTAAACACGAGTCTTGAAGCTTCCTACTTAGATCGCTGTCTCATCTTTCGTCTCTTCCTCTTGAGCCTCCTCATACGCTTCTTCTTCCACTGCAAAAAAGAAGCAACAGAACACGTTTACTAACCCGAATTATAATTGTTATTTTAAAGATTCTACAGAATTTTATTCCTTATTGGAGTTTATTAGGATATGCGGAACAAGAAGATGACAATTTACAGCTAAAGAGACAAGAAATCAGAAAGAGAGATTTGTGTAGAGAACCACCACCTGATTGTTCAGGAACTAGGTTTAGGACCCTCCTTGAATGTCCTCCCAAACACAGCTTCTGAACGCTTCTTGTACTCTTTGTACATTCGGTCTACTTTGTACCAATGCACCTTTCTCTGGTAAAGGCCTGAACCATCGAAAAAAAATAGTTAAAAATCGCACAATTCAGGGACTATAAATTAAATCCATCCATATAGATTCAAAATACCATACATTTGCAAAAGTAAACAGCATATCCACCCATGAATGCTGCACCAGCACCAAGAACCAAGCCTTCCTGCTCCTTGCACACCTGCTTGGCGCCCGAGTACAGGCGGAGGCGGGTAGACTCGACGGTTGAAAACGCCCTTCCACGATACTACAGATTTCGATACAAACAGGATAATCGCAAACAACGATATACGAAATATACGAAATATTAGAGAGAATTCGGATTAAATTTTGCTTGCCTTTCCCAAAATCGCCTGCGTGTGCTTCATCATCTTCACCTCGTGAAATAGGGTTTCTGCTTTCCCAATCCTCTTCAACCAAACTTGTTTTTCTTTTCTTTCTTTTTTTTCGGCTTTATTATTAAATAGAAAAACTCACGACACGAGGGGGGCTTTGACTTGACTTGAGAAAATCATTAACAATAGTGTATAAAACAGGCCCTGTTGGCCCAATTATTTTTGTGAATTAAAAAAGGGTTTTTTTTTTCGCTCTCCAAATCAAATTAGTAATCAGTATGAAATAATAATGTCTGCCTCTTCAGCCAAAATTATAAGACTTCTATCGTTGGTGAACTTGTCTCCTCCCTTTGTCTCCTCCCAGATCATCTATCCAAATGGGGGAACCACTAAAAAGACTTATCATGACCGTAAGCGTTTGTTTAGCTTTATTTAAAAGACTTTACTCGAACCTATAATCTGTACCGTTCGTTAACTGCCTTAGTTTATAGATTTAATTTAGATAGATAGGAATTTTTATTCGATCTTGGTTAGTGAAGCTGCTCTTACCATCTTGACCGTTCGTTAGAGTGACTTTGTTTACAGACGTTTTCCTAATAAGTACGATCTTGACCGTTCGTCAGTATGACTTTTGTTTTTGTATTTTTTTCGGCTAAATGTATGACTTTTGTTTACATATAGACTTTTTATCGGACAGAGTACTATTTTGTTTACTTTTGGTGTAATGAACCGAAATCAATCTCTTTTTGATTATTTAAATTTCAAAATTCACACATAACCGATCTCAATTGGTATGCGTAAACTAAAACAAGTAGTACATAATAATAACATAAAACAACAACAATTATGTGAAAGTCATATCGAGCATTTTTCTCACGGATGTTTATTAATATTATTGCCATGTCATCGATATAAAATAAAAGAGAAAGAGGGGTTATATTCTAGATTAGATCATGGAGAAACTAGGCAAGTTTGTGTCGGTTGCTTGCTTGTTCGATTCTGGTCTTATGTTTCTATTTGTCCATCTACTTCAAAACCGTATTTCGGTTATTAGTTTCTGCTCGAAGCCCTTTGCGATTAGAACCCTTCTTATCTTCGAAATGCTGATTCGGATTCTATTTTAGCATCACTCATGAACTCCATACTAATTCTGAAAGTTTGATATTTTCCACTTGGATTTTTTTTTTGTACAAACAAAAAGAGGAACCATAGCCAAAAGGCCCAAATCCATCCACAGACTAACCTTTAAATCATTTTTCTAAACTTAAAAAGTGATTTACCAATTCAACTATGTACTAGCTCATCATTCAAAATTATAAACTTTTCAGCATCATGAGTTCAGATATAACGGGTAAAAGATTCACCAACCAAATATGGTTTATGGTTTATGGTCTAAGGATCCTAGAAATTATGGACTTTAATCCGATACTTTTTTTTTTATTACCCAAAACACAAGTGTCAAAATCTCAAACCACTACACATAAAAACCTTAAATTTGTACAACCTAACCAACGTTAAAATCAAGCACATGTTAAAGCCAAATTATCTACCAAATTAGCCCTCAAATAATTAATTTCTCTAACGGCCAAGTCTTATTACACACTAACAATAGAAGCGTAGACTGATTTATAAAATAGAGAATATTTGTAACCACATCTTTGATACGCCGTGGAGCTTTGAATCTGATAAATAGGTTAAATTATAATACGAACAAGCTTTAGTCCCAATTAGGAGAGAGAGTTGCAGTAAAATGATCTCCACAACAAGATAAGCGTCCAAATTTCACTACTAGGTTATGCGATAACAAAAAGAGTTTTTTTTTTTCGTTTTTAAGGAGTGACATGTTCTATGAATCAGTGGCCATATCCAAGTTTCCATCGTTAAATTTGTCTTTTGTCGAATGATTCAGGAAATTCCCAAGCAGCCTTTGATCCAACACCATGTTAGGTACCTGCACAGTATAGATATATTTACTTCTTTAGAACAGCAGAAACAGAGAAATAAGAGGAGAGAATAAGAAATGAAAACCTTATCCCCGAAGAACATTTTGGTGTTACGAGCAATGGCATCGATGAACTTTAGTTCGAGAAATTCAGGAGTGAGCTTCAACTTGTTTGCTTCAGCTTCTCTCAGTACACTTGAGACATTGATCAGATTTTTTTTTTAAAAAAGTAAACATTAGACCCATATATTCTGTTGTTCTATGTTCTTTGTTTGTTTATTCTTCAGAAAAAAAAAATAAATAAATGAGAATTAAGACTGGTAATTACCGGTAGTAATCTGCATCCGCAAGACTCTTTTGACGATCCAGATACATCTGCTTCTCTCCTTGAACTGTCTTTCTCAGTCAGCTTCTGTTGCATTAGAATCTTGCTAACATTGGCGTTCTTCTCGGCTTCACTAATGGCCATTATTTTCTTTGTATCTGCCTCTTTCTCAGCAACTCTTTATTTCTCAATAGCAATCAAGACCTTCAAAAATCATTACATTCCAACTGAGTTCTGTATTACTAAACAGGATCCTATTTATCATGCATTATAACAGAATTGGAAATATGAGCAAACCAGAGGGGGTCAAATAAAAAAAGAGTGTACCTTAGTACGTTCCTCTTCCATTTGCTCAAAGTTGCGCCTCACACTCTCTGGGATCTTCGGCTTTGTGACACGCACGCTAATAATCTCAATTCCTGGAGCATAACGTGTGCAATCAGCCTGAAGAGCCTCTTTCATTCGCTCATCAATCTGAAACACATTTAATTGAGTGAAATTACTTATCATTGTCATTGTCGAGACATCAAACACAATGTAAACATTATCCAAAAGAAAGCTTCATTCACTGCTATGAACCTGTCGATAAGACGAGCATAATATTCGAACTGAATTTCGAACAGCAATGACAATCTTATAAACAGTTAACATCGAAGCTTATATGTTTCCGTTAAGGTTACTACGGCTTCCCAATCTACTCAAGTACCTGGTCAAAGATGTCAATGTAGACTTGCTGAAGCGAATAGGAGCTGCAAAACTGGTTGATCTCATGGTGAATCTTATCATATATCCATGTGTTGTCATAGTCCACACCATAGTTGAGCAAAGTGTCATAGACATAATCCTTACGCAGTCGATTAACAACCTAAAATCATTTTACTCGGGTCAATACATGTAATTAAGATCAACAAACTGAAAACAGTGGGAAGTGCTAGCAGAGAAACCAATATATTAGGGACTTACTTCTATCTTCTCAAAGGTAATCATGACACCTCCTTTGGTACCACATGGTATATCCTTCACCTAAGGGCACACAAGATTAAATAGTTAAAAAAGCTACAATCTAAACACATCCAAGCTCTTTATGGTATAAGACTCACTTGATCTGTTTGGAGAGTAACTTGAACAGGCTCGTAGTTAGTAATGAAAGGGAGCTTCAGTTGAAAACCTGAAGCAACAAAAGGTGTTTCAAATCGGAAAACAGCAGAAGAACGAAACCGTGATAACACTGAGAAAAGGGGGATAACTAGTAATAATACCAGGCTCTGTAATGATGTTCAGAAGAGCACCACCTCTCCAATACGCTCCAACGTAACCTTCAGGAACTTGGTGCACCAACGATGAAGGAAACATAACCTGCTAACCCATTACACAAAGTAAAAAAATCTTTCTCAAAAACCATGATAAAAGTGAAAATTGACAACCAAATTATGTAAAATGAACTACTCGACAGCAACACAGAGCAAGATCAATCAAAACTTATGGAAGAAAAACGAAATCAGTAATGAGTTTCTTTGTCTCCCAAACAGGTATCTAAACATGTGTGGTTACAAACACACCAATCTACAAAACTAAAACGAAGCAAAAAACAAAAACTTTGGTTGAAGAAAATATAAAGTCATCAACTTTAAGTCAACTACGTGTACAAAGGTCCAACATTGCGATCGAGGGTATACTCAAAATCAAAGGAAGTATCTAAACATGTTAAGGAGAAACAGATTCAGTAAAGGATTAAAAAGTAGGAAGCGTGTATAAACAACAACGAATCTTTAATAAGAGATGACATATACCAAAGCGGCGATGGCGATGAAAACACCAAACGCAATGAAAATCGAAGACACGTCGCCTCCGGGTTCACCGACGGGAGGACGGTGACGGGTTTCAGTTCTACGTTGCTGAGGATCCATGGAGAAATTTGGTTGAACGGGTTTGTTCAGTGGAAAATTGGAAAACTTGGAAAGGGGTTTTTGATTCAATGAGGAACAAGTACAAATGGGGTTTTTATATAGTGTAGGAGGAAAGACCGTAACTTTGTGTGTGAGATTGGTATCGGACCGTTGGATGGAGTAGGGTTAATGGGTCACGGGTCGGGTTACTTGACTGAAGAAGTCACTGCAGTCCCGATTTCTGTTCCAAAACCTACTACACCTGCAACAGAAACACCGGAGGTCGTTTCTCCCGCTCCTACTCCAACCGCCGATAATGAGAAGATTGAAACTGCTGATAAGGCTCCGAATCCTCTTCTGCTTGTAAGGCAGGTTTAAGCTTTAGTGTTGTTCTGTAGTTTTGGCGACAATAATGGTAGATAAGATTCAAAACATTTCTTCTGTAGTTTTTTTCTTACAAAGAGAGACACGATCGTTGGGAAGTGAAACCTAAACGTAGTGAATTTTTAACTCGTCGTTATGCATCGTATATTCAAGTCATCGTGAACGAAAAGGTGATGTTTGTCCTGTTAAACTTGTAACACATTTCTAACTCTAAGTGCGTTAGAATGTAGTTTAACCAATGCAAAGAATGTTAAAACCAATGCATTTATCCCAAAAGACGCTTCTGCGTCGGTTTGTTTCAAGCAACGAGATGAATCAAACTAGTCTGACAAATACGAGTTAATCTCACAAACTAAACAGCATTGCAAAACAACGAGACAGCACTTCCTTGATCAGACTGTCTCTCATTTAATCTTCTTCTTTAAGGAGTTCCCCGAGGGCGTCGAGGAATTCTTTCAAATCAAATGGACCCTCCGTCATCTGTTCATATACCATAATAATAAATAATAATGCATACTTACGTTGTCACAGAAATTTCTAACATCAATTGTAAAAGAATAGAAGATATACCGTAATGACTATGTCGCCACCTTCCGTGATACTGACAAGTCTTGGCTGTTCGAGCACATCAAGAGAAAAAAATTAGCAAACATGTGACAAGATAAATCATGGCAACAACCAAAAACCCATGTGACCGATCAGGTGCTCACGTTTGTTTTCTTCTCTTCTTCTTCCTTTGCCGGGCTTTCTCCTTCTTTTTCTTCCTTGGCTTTCTCTTTGCTTTTCTTATCCTCAACCGAAAGATTCTCAGCCAAACCAGCAGCCTCATCTCCCTCTTTGCTTTTCTTATCCTCAACCGAAAGATTCTCAACCAAACCAGCAGCCTCATCTCCCTCTTTGCTTTTCTTATCTTCAACCGAAATATTCTCAACTAAACCAGCAGCCTCATCTCCCTCTTTGCTTTTCTTATCCTCAACCGAAAGGTTCTCAACTAAACCAGCAGCTTCATCTCCTTCTTTGCTCTCTTTCCCTACTTGCTGGCTTTCAGCTATCTCAGTGAACTTCTCCATAAACGTTTTGCAATCTGTTGATGCAACAGTATCCAGTCAGCCATTTGAGAATCTAAAAACCAAAGAAAATAGTGCAGAAGCCACAATACCTAAGCTAAGGAGATTCTTTCTACTCTCATAGATTTTCAATCATCACAGCTAAGAAATACTACCAACATGCATCTTGCTGACTAAGTGAAGATAAATACGATTATAGCAGTAGTCTAACATCTGACATACTACAGAACTAGATTGCCTGTGTGTCTAGTGATAAGACCTACAAGCTACAACCTTACACACCAACCAAGTCATGGACAATGGCTGTTTAGTGATAAGACCTACAACCTTTACACACCAACCAAGTCATGGACAATGGCCTAATGTTAGTTATCTCATAGAGCTGATCAAGAGTTAATATATACCTCCACAAGTAATCAAAACGAAATGTCTCGTTGAAACCATAACAGGAGGAACCATTGCAAGTATATTACCACTAGCTATAAAAGCAATAGTGATATCGTTTAAGGAACTTCCGAATCACACAATTCAGAGCTACAAAATGGTGATTTTTCAATCATCATTAACAGATTCTTATAGGAGATCATTCGCTGACTAAGCTACCACAACTGGAGACAAGTAAACCGGGAACGATCATAGAATAGGATGGTGGCGGCCAGTTCATTTCAAACCTAATGACTCATTTAGTATACTTACTCTCAATAGACGCAAATCTAATGCAGAAAAGCTCATTCTTCAACTCGCCATCGGAAAGATCATTAGCCTGCCATAAACACGACTTTTCATTCCCACCATGTTCCTGAACAGTCATCCCAGACGAAACTGCAGAGAAACACACATCGATACATACATAAGCTTTAGCTCGAAACAAAACTAGATAAGGGAGACAGCAGAAATTAGATAGCGAACTCACTGAGGTGATTGGCGCAGATCTTTAGGGTTTTAGATTGTCTCATGACAAGTCGAACCTTGCCGGTTTGCTTATGCTTCAACAGCTTAACAGTTCCAGCTCCTCTCTCCTTCCATTGTTTCCCATTTTTATCGAACCGATACAGCTTCGATTTCCTTAACGATCAAAGTTCAGATGAATCACATCACACACAAATTCTTGAAAGGAACAAAAAACGGAGCAAAGAAAATGATTACATACAGATTAAGGACGGCGTCTTCATCTTCCTCGTCTGTGGTGACCGCAACAACTTCGTCAAGCCTGACGATTGGAGCTACTGCCTCCTGCTGCGCCATCTTCTTCTTGAGAGAATCCATTTCCTCCTTTAGGGAAGCGATGGATGATCGGTTCTCGTAGCTTCGGAGGTAGGCTGCTTCCAACTCAGCAGATGTTTGGAGATTGTTGTGAATGTCCCACACAAACTTGCCAACTGTAGCTGTGACAAACAATGCCCACAGGAGATAGGCTCTAGCAAAGTGACGGCTCGCTGAATCCAGCGACGTATACGTCACCGCGATTTCCACCGGCGGTGGCGGCTTTCCTCCTCCCCACGCCAAGATTTTCAGTTTCTTGTTTTCTGACCAGTCCATAAAGTCGAGAAGATTTTTTCCACATCTGTCACTCACTTCGGTTTTCTTCTTCGTCGCCCAGTAGAGACCTTGTTCAAAAACGGATTTCACCACCTTGTAGAGAGAAGTTGGTTGATGGTAGAGACGAAGTTGACGCTGAAACTAGAGTCAAAAATAGTAGTTAGTAATCAAGGAAAAAGATAAAGATATTAGAACCAGAAGTTTGAAGAGATTTACCGGAGTAGCCATAGATTTTGCCGGAGGAGCCAGCGATTTTGCCGGAAAACTGTTCCGGAATATGCGGCTCATTTCCTTTGTCTCACTCTCTCTCTTCCCCAAATTTAGGGTTTCTCGTTTTCTTAAGTTTTTTTTTTCTTTTTTTGGGAATTACTGAATTTATTTATATATTATTGATTTTTAGAGTGTATGAAGCCTCTCTATCCTAAGTTTTATGTAGAGCGAGTAAATCATTTTGGCTTATGCCAAAAATTGTGATTGGATGCACTTGTTTTTTTTTTTCCTGAGTTTGGATTTATCAAAAGAAAGAAAACACATTAACCAACAAAAATAATCTCAGAATTTTTACAGATACCATCAACTTTACAAGCATAAAAGTAGAGTCAAGACTACACCTAATAAATTTAGAGAATAGAGTAAACATGATAAATACATCACACGCAGGTGATCTAGTATAATCATTCGAGTAACCAAAATATTTAGCTAGCTAGATAAAGTTATTGCAAAACGAAAATTCTCAATAACCAACAAAAACAAAAACAAAAAGTAGAAACCCATAATTTTTTTTGATTAACTTAATTCCAATGAACTTACTTGAGAAAAACGTTACATACATTACCTTAACTAGGGTAAGCATCAAAAACCAATAATTTGATCCAAAACAATCAGTTTGAACTTATATATTTCCAATTCCAAGATTAATTTGGTCAGGTTATTGTTGTGAGTAGTCTCAACTCTCAACGCGTTATAAATGAAACGCACTAATTAATACAAATGTATCTTCATGTACATGCATGCAAAAGTTTCAAGGATATTTATGATGAGTTCATTGCAATAAAAATGGGTTATATAGTTTTTTCTGGTCGGATGTTTTTCGTTAACCCAAGTTAAAACTATAATCAAAGAGAATATATAGTTTCACAAATTTACTTATATAGTTTCTATTCTGGTTTTGTATATTTTACCTATATGATGTTGACACTACTAGAACAAATGAGAATAACAAAGCAAGCTCTCTCTCACTACCTCTAAAAGGTTTTTTCACCCTTTTTTATTTGTTTATCGTGTCCTGTCCTATTAAAGACGGAGTTACTTATCATATGGATCTTGTTAACAGTTTAAAAAATCTATGAAATGACGTTTTTAAAAAAAAAGATTACAAACGATCACAATGATGATATTGGTCCCTAATTAATAAACGATTACAAACTGGTTGATATAAAAAGATAATCATGTTAATGATTATATTAGGGTTGTATAGTTATCTTTGAGGAAAAACGTAACACTTTTAGATTTATTCATTAATGCATTTATGAAAAAAAATGATGTCTGATCAAGTAAAATATTGTATTTTGTGAATGTAAATACAAATACAAAAATGCATTAAAAATAATAATTACTCGTCACGAAATTAAATGCGTTTTATTTAATCAACCACTCAACAACGTTATCAGATTAATTTGGTACGTGTTTCTCTATACACCTAAGATGATTGAGTTAATGCAAAAATTATCTTAGTAGTATATTTAACGAGGAAACTAATATGGAAAAATATATAATGGCATGCAAAATCAATTAACAAAACGTTTAAGGATGCTCATAACACTAAACAATTCCTGACGTCTAGCGATAGAAATTAATTATTAATTAAACACGACTTAAAAAAATGTGATGCAAATTTTATGGCTGAACCAAGGTGGCGTAGATCATGTAAACGCATGGAGATGAGAATAATCTTCGGAAAGTGTATCTGGGAAGTCCTAGAAACAGTATAAAAATAATCAAAGAGAATAGTTTCACAAATTTACTTATATAGTTTCTATTCTGGTTTTGTAGATTTTACCTATATGATGTTGACACTACAAGAACAAATGAGAATAACAAAGCAAACTCTCTCACTATCTCTAAAAGGTTTTTTTCACCTTTTTTATTTATTTATCGCGTTAAAGATAAAGTGGAGATGGAGAAAACAAGGAACTCGCCACATGGGTCGGGTGGTGAACCTCCCATATCCCAGTGTGTGTCTGTGCCATTTCATTGATCCTAATGCACCAAGCGTCAATCATATGCACCTTTACAAGTACTTTTTAATTTGTACCCTAATCTGAATCTCAATGCATTGCTGCTTATGCAGAGCCTCTAATTGATCTTTTGCTTTGACAAAGTCTAATACTAATTTTACTGGCACCTGGTATAAAAACTAAAATTTAGAAAGGAAAAGAGAAGAAAGAAAGAGCAGTTGTGATCGTGTGGTCAAGGATGAATTGCGTGGGCTGTGTGTAAACACGTTTGCTCTATTAATCAATTATATTGGGTCCCACGTCTGCTCCTGGGCCACTCTGTTTCCAACATCACATCAAAATCCTAGTAGCAGTATAGGAGGAAGACGCCAAGAAGGCACTGTGAAATGCTGTTGCCTGTTGGGTTTTAGAAGACAGGATGGCAGTCTCGTAAATAAGTGGGAAAGTGAAGATGGATCGTATCTGCTACGTACTCCATCCTCCAATTACTCGCCTTTCCCCCGCACGCGCCCAAGCTACTGTAGCTATCCGACGGTTCATATTCTGAGATAACACGTTGCGGTGCCGGGGAGAGAGTAGGTGGGAGGCGCGAGAGTGAGATGGCAATGAGTCCAAAAAAGAGGAGAGGAGAGAGTGGAGTGGGTCCCCTTAAGTGCCAAAAGGCTGCCATCGACGTGAATTCATATTTGGTGCTGGTTTTGTTTTTATTTAGAATGAAACTTGTGCAACTTTATATAATTTTCTCAGTCTTTACTTTTGATTCTATGATTTCTCCATTTCTTGACATTTAAGTACGAAAAAGAGTGTATAAAACATGAATTGCACAAAGGGAGCATTACGCTTACACCTTTTCAGTTTAAGAGATCAACGCAAAAGCCACCAAGCTTTTAGATGTGATCATAACCATACCCTTGGTCACGGCACCTCTTATTTGAACATAACATGCTAAATATATAGCCTAAAAAGTTTCGATGCTTCAACCATTCTGTATCCCAACAAACAGCACGAGATGGTCTGATGGAGACTGAAGCGTGCACATCGGTTTATAAGTGTTCGCGAAAATACGGTGTTAAAAGCCAAATCATCAATCAAGTGGGTCATTTTAAAAAGTTAACTATCTCTTCAAGTATCAAAAAACAAATACATATAAAAAAAAAAACAGTTTAGTTAAGAAGGAAGCATATCACAAGACCAAATATCAATATTGATCGATCAGCTACTAGAAAAAGGTAACAAAAAAAGAACGTAACGTCCTTTATAGAAAGCAGCAAAACTTATCCATCTCTCTCACATTGGTATACATACTCATTATTATTATTATTATTATTTAATGAATTTAAAATTTTATTTATCAAAAAATCAGTGGGCACAACAAGTGCAACACATTTTAAAGTTTATATTAAGCCTTTACAAACCTTTCTCAAGATTGAGTAGCAAACCAGAGGATGAGGATGTCCTCATATTGGATGTTGAACGAAGTAGGCAAAGAGATATGAGGACATCTTCTTCCTCTGGTTTGCTAGTACTCGATCTTGAGAAAAGTTTGTAAAAGCTTGATATAAACTTTAAAATCTGTTGCACTTGTTGTACCCACTGGTTTTTTAATGAATAAAATTTATAATTCATGAAAAAAACTAAAAAAAAAAAGAAGTAGGCAAAGAGGCATATGCAGAACCAAAGGTTTTTTCGTATACCAACTGTCCCGTGTTAGTTATAGTCTTGTCAAATGGTTATTGCTTACATTTGTTTTCCTAACGTACGTCCTATATATCATTGCGTAAAAGTCTAATTATTGATAAAGTATATGAGTATATCGGTTACATTTGATGTATCAATATTGAAGCATCAATATAAAATAGAGACTGGAATAGGTTTTCTTTTTCTCTCTCGTACGTGTACCATAAATAAACAAAAATAAAATAAGTGTGATTTTCAACTTTTTACCCTTTTTAATATACAAATTTTAAATTTAAATTGGGAACACATAGATATATATATATATATATATTGTATTTTCCTTTTACACGAGAAAAATTATAGCACATTTCTATCAAAATTGTAAACTTTGTAGCAAAAAAAAAAAATATATGTATCAAAGTATTTAACTTTGGTTAACGGAAAACATCTGACCAGAAAAATATGTAAAAATATAATTGCTATAGTTTTCTTTGTAATCGTAGTTTCTTTATTTTGTCATATGATCCATTTTTTATTGCAATAAACTCATCATAAATACCCTTCAACTTTTGCATGAACATGAAGATACATTTGTATTAGGGGGTTTCATTTATAAGTTATAACGCGTTGAGAGTTGAGACCACTCACAACAATAACCTGATCATATCTTGGCATTGGAAAATATATGTTCAAACTGATTGTTTTCACAGAAAATTATTGATTTTTGATGCTTACCCTAATTAAGGTAATGTATGTAACGTTTTTCTCTTGTAAGTTCATTGGAATTAAATTAATAAAAATTATGGGTTTCTAGTTTTTTTTGTTTTTGTTGAGAATTTTCGTTTTGCAATAACTTTATCTAGCTAGCTAAATGTTTTGGTTATTCGAATAATTATACTAGATCACTTGCGTGTGATGTATTTATCATGTTTACTCTATTTTCTAAAATTATTAGGTGATAGTCTTCACTCTACTTTTACCCTTCTTTTATAGAGCTTGGATAAGATCATAAGAGTACCCCTCTTTAACCATCAAAAGATTTGACAACTCCTGCAAGTAATTTATTTCCCCTATATATATTTTTTTCACTCAGTTCAGTTAGATATATAGATCCTTTGGTCCTCGCTCACATATGCAATGTGATAATAACAAGTTTCAAAATCATCATATCTGTTTTTAGAGGGGAGTCTAGTATATAGCAATAATTCGTAATAATGCAATATATATTCTATAAATTATTTTATTTTTGAATTTTGTAGAAAATTAGTACAATAATTTGATGATAGATCCAAAAGAACAGGAATCAGATTAGGGTTTCCTTAAGATATGATTAATTAACAGGTCAGGTATGGGTTAAGCTAATCGAAGCAGGTTTTTATGTGACCTTTCGCAGTCACTAAAAGCCTAAATAGCTCTTGACAGAAACTTTAGGACGATATCAAAACATGGGAATTAAAAGCAACCAATGCTTTTCTTGGTCTACTTCCCGTATTACTTAAGTACTAATGATAAATCCATATGGAATATTCGACTAGACCTAATTAGTAATTGTATAATGCTAGTTCATTCTAAGTTTATCACATTTATACGTATAAACATAATAGTTGATGTGAACATTATTTAATTTAAAGTTTGTGCTAATCTTGTTTTACGCTTCTCTTCGATGAGATTAGGATCGATCAAACCAAGTTTGACATTGTGATAGAGTCTTATATGAGTAAAATAATAAATCAGTCGTTCAAAGATTCTTTCTTCTATTCACGATGATGATTAGGTCCAAAGACTAAACCAGTCGAAATGGAAACATTTATTTCTTCTCAATATTAAGTTACAGTATTAAGTATAAATTAAACGGATATGAACTGTCACACAGCTGCACGTAAAATATAATGAGTAAAATTATGAGATATTTGTTTACTATTTTATGTTTACTATTTTTTTTTGTTTTTGGTGATTACCCGGGAGAAAAGCCTCCCGATTTTATTTCAACAAACTAAACTTACAATCGAACCTGTCTTGTCCTAACCAGACCAGACATATCATCCTGAAATAAAGACTCAACCTCCGCCAGAACATAGTCAAAAACATGAAAACCAAAAGGCAAAGAAAACACATAAGTAGCCAAACCATCAGCAAGATAATTTGCTTCCCTATACACATGATTCTTTCGGACTATCCAATCCCTATTAATAAAGCCATGGCACATCCGTACCAGGAAGGATAAAGGATGTAACTCAACAATCCCTGTCTGTAGAAAACCCGCAACCACTTCAGAGTCTACTTCCAACACAACCTGCCTAACTCTCCTCTCCCAAATAATACACAGGCCGTAGTAAACCCCCCATAACTCAGCCAAAGGAGCGGAGCACTGACCTATGTTCAACGCAAAACCACTACACCACTGTCCCTCACCATCTCTTAACACCCCACCTGCCGCTGCAAAACCCGGGTTACCTCGTGATGCTCCATCAGTGTTCACTTTGAACCATCCTGCCAACGGCATCTCCCACTTAATCATTCGTTCAATTCTCATCCCTTGCCCTGATATCTTATCCTTCTTCGAATGAACCAAGTTGATCTCATCCACTTGTTTTCTATTTTCTATTTTCTATTTTCTAGTGGCCATAGCATATCCCTTAACATAGAATTAAAAAAGAAACTATATTATATATTCAATTTATTACTTCTGCAAAATTAATTAATTTGGAAGGTATTGCTACGATCTCATTATCTCTTAGCGATGAGTTCTCTTAATACTTGCACACAATTAGGGTTAATGAGCCCCAAACGTATCCGAATACAGACCTGAAAAGTATCTCCGCGATGAGTTTTCTTAATACTTGCACACAATTAGGGTTAATTAGCCCCAAAAGTATCCGAATACAGACCTGAAATAAACTACCAACTTTATAATTTTAAAATGTTAATGAAATTATTTCATGTTTTGCCGACAATTTTGGCCTATAAAACTTTGTTGATCGTTAGAGGGAACAAATTCCAAATAAGATTATAGGCTCTGATTGGTGCCTCTTGGAAAAGATTCTAAATGCTGAACCCTTTGATTACATCCTTTATCTTGTAGTTATTAAAGCAATACACGGGAGAAAAAAATATCTTAACCAAACAAAAAAGTACAGAAAACAGCATTACAAAAAATAATGGTGGTATTTTGTTTGTGCTATTGCAATAGGTGGTACAAGGTGTATAATTGTATATAATGGTAGTACAAATTTCTACTAAAAAATTGTGTAGTAGTACGATATATCCTTTGATGGTTTTACTACTTTTATTTTAGACATATTTTTTTGTTAACTCTAATAACTTTATAAACAAATTTTATTTGTAATATCTTTCACCTTTTATATTGAAATATAACCAATCAGATCGCATATTCGTACCTTCATCTCGTATTGTATTGCCATTTCTTACTATTTATAATTAAACTATTTTTTTAGTTTTCTGCTTTTAATTGCACCGCCATTTTCTCCGGTCAATTTTTTGTGCAACTATACCACTATTTTAAATTATTTGCTAGAGTGGATATTTCAATTTGTTTCATAAAACTGAAAAATTGATAGTTCAGTTAGAAGTATAGATTAATTTTAAATTTTTGTGCTAAACAAATTATCATAACTCTAAACCAATTATGATTCAATTATCTTCAAATAATATATACACATTTTTAATTTACAATTCATTACCATGAATTACTAAAAATACATTAAAATCTTAAAATCTATCTTTATGAAATAAGGAAAAAAAAACTATAGAATAAACAAACGAAGGGAGTATAAACCCACACACATTAATTATTATTACTAATTTATTTTTCATAGAAAAAAATATCTCAGTGTATTATTTCTTCACTTCTATTTGAATTAAAAAACAGGCGCCAAAAAAACGAAACCGTAAATTTGGTATCTTACGGGAACTCAAAGTTAAGTTCTTTCCCTCTTTTGGTGGCAAGGTAAGGGATTAGCTTTACAATCATGTCACCTTGAAGAGTAGGCAATTCAGCATCTAAAGGGATACGTTGAAGCATCATGGATTTGTTTAATCTTTCGTACTTTTTCATCATTGTAGTCACTTCCTCTCTCTCTTTATTGAAGATCGATTTCCACGAGTCATCCCGGAATTGAGTCGTCTTTTTCGCTCTGGCCAATGCACGGCGCAAGACCCCGATGGCTTCCCCTACTTGCCCTTCTGATTCCAAGCTTTCCGCTAAGTGTTTTCCGCTCTTTAGCTCGTGTAAAGCTCCCAATGTCGATACATAATCCTGCTTTGATCAAAATCATGAGAACTTAACTCTGATTCACGCATCTACTCAAGCTTTCAAGCTTTGGTGAGATTATGAGGGGCGAGTGACTCGTTTATTAAAGCAAAAGACTGCGACAAACAGGAACTTACCAAAAAGCAGGACGAGAGCTCTTTAACTTGAATGCTGGTTTTTGATAAGAGAGAAGCATTAGCTTCATCAACAAATTGCGAGACACCGTAATGGAGTTTTGCCAGTAGACTTGCACTCGTCCCCTTTTCTTTGGCCTTACTTGCCGTCACAGCCTGTTTTCAAAATGTTCAGCAGATTGATTTAAGGGATTAAAGTACGAAACTAAGATTTATGGACAAACCCCTAATACGTTCGGATAAACGTAAAAGTATTTATTTGTGAACAAGTGATAGTTTGTTCAAGTAACAATCGAAATATAATACTTAATTATATAGCTAAAAGTGACAGTTTTGGATGATGATACCCTTCAGTCACAATCTGGTGGAAGCAAAATGAGAAAACACTGACCTGTCCTTCTGCTAAACAGAGGAGACTCAAAGAGGAGCAAACCGAGGATGTTAATTCGGGAAGCTTCTCGATAGGCACCCAAGGTGAATAATCAGGGTGACGTATCTTACATAGATAGTCAAAAACACCAGCGGCTTCTCTATAAGCCTTTGTGGATCCAACCATATCTGCTTTTAATCAACATAAAGTAAGTTATTACCCCGTTCTAGAGAAAGAAACATCAATATAAGCCCGTGCCAAAAAGAAGAAGAAGGTTATTTAGTGAGAAAAAGAAAGATAACCTGTGGAGATTAACACCATTGCTTTCTCCCTGAGCTTTAGAGCGTAGATAAATAGTATCATATGAAGCTCAAACATCATATTATTAACTTGGAAGAATGTTGGAGATTTTTTACGCTGAAATATACTCGCAAGGCTTAGACCATTCGAAGACTTGCAATTTAAGTTCAAGGCACTGCTCCATCGTATCCTGAGATTTTTAATGAAACGAATGCTGATGTCATGATTACAAGGCTTATTCAGGTTGTCTATCAAATTTTGGAGTAAAAGAAGGTACGCTTCAATTCTAACAAGATCCTGAAAAGAAAGAAACAAAAACAAGAATATATGTAAATAAATAAAAAAAATCTCCAAGCAAAATATCAGAAGAACAAATACTTGTTGCTTTTTGGACTATAGAGTCAGAAGCTCATGAGTAAATAAATAGGGTTATTAGAAAGAATAAAATAACAAAATTAAACAGCCCTCTAACGTTGAGTAAGAAACAAAACCCTTAAAAGTTCATATGCTTTTCAAATTTTTTTTTTTTACCTCTTTAACAATAGCCTCAATTCCATGGAAGCTTCTGTTGATGGAATCCTCCGGTTGTTTACGGTTCAGGCTTATGTTTTTAAGCTGAGAGTTCGTTTTCTTTTCCTTAAACTTCAATATATTCCACAAAACAATCTGTTGAAAACCAGTTCAATGTTGTTAATCTCTATATTGTTAATCTCTCGAACATTAATCACTATCTAACACTACTAACAATGAAACAATCAAAGACAACATAAATACTAGAAATCGACTAATTTCAGCAAAACTCACAAAGAGATTCGAAGGAAAGAGATAAAAAAATTTTAAAAGTCTACCTTTTTCGTTTTAGGTATGGGAATATAGTAACGCAACATCCTCTTCGTCTAATGATGTAACTCGTGGACGATAACAACACACAAGAAAAGAACATCCAGTAGAGATAAGGACAAAGATTTCGGATTTGCTTCCTTTTCGATGTATTTATATAACCGGAGAAATAATTGACTCATCCTATCTTATACAGGAGAGGGAGATAAGGATATTAATTAAACGAAGCTATTTTTTTTTAGAAAATTATTTTCATGAGGGTTTGTTTACATAAAATAATTCGATTGTGATTCAATCTGTGGAAAACGAAATAAAATAAAAGAAAAATGATTGTCAGCTACACAGAGTATAGGGCAACACATGGCTACACATCCGAAGTATTGAAATGCATCTAAAACTACACTAACTATATGGTTAACATGACAGACATGTATGAACTAAATGGTGTTATGTTGCCAACATCATGAACCAATATATGACGACAAATGTACTCAAAACTACACGAACTAATTTAGCAAAAAACTACACGACTATATTTATAATAGAAAAATTTATATAGAAATATGTATATGTGTCTATATATATTATAGTATAATAATCTCTGAAAGTTATTCTTTTAGTTAAATAAATTATTTAAAAATTATAGTTATATAAAATTAAAATGAAATTGATTATCAATGTTCAACAATTTGTATATTGTATGTTTATGTGCTTTCAAAACATATTGGTAATTTTCTTGGTTATATGTATAGCAACATACTTAAATTAGCACATTTTTAATTTAAAATATTTTTACGTAGAGTTATTATAATATAAGTGACAAATATGTCAAATAAAAATATTTTCTAATTTAATTATTTTATTATACATATAGGCAAGAAAATTACCAAGATGTTTGAAAGCACATAAACATAAAATATACAAATTTTTGACCATTGATAACTAATTTAATTTTAATTTTATATAACTATAATTTTAAATACTATATTTAACTAAAAGAATAACTTTCTATAGATTATTATACTATAATATATATATATATAGAGATACATATTTTATAAATTTTTCTATTATAAATATGGTTCGTGTAGTTTTTTGCTAAATTACTTCGTGTAGTTTTGAGTACATTTATCGTCATATATTGGTTCGTGATGTTGGCAACATAACACCATTTAGTTCATACATGTCTGTCATGTTAACCATATAGTTGGTGTAGTTTTAGATGCATTTAAATACTTCGGATGTGTAGCCATGTGTTGCCCTATACTCTGTGTAGCTGACAATCATTTTTCCTAAAATAAAAGTGGAGTTCAAACAGTGAGCTAACTCGAAAGTGCGAAAGAGACAAAATACTAGCTCGTGAAGTCTAATCAAAATCAAAATAGATGCTGAAAGTTTTTTTGTTTTTTTGTTCTTTTTTTTTGTCAACTTTTTGTTTTTTTGTTCTTTTTGTTGAAAGTTACATTTGTTATTTTTATTATTATAAAATCGAGTCCATGTTGAAACGGTTTAACTAATAGGAATTGGTTTTCCGGTTAAGTCTAACCAAAATCTAACCGGGAATGGGAGCCAAAGCAAATAATTGATCGAGGACGAAGTCCAAAAAATTAGGTGGAATAAACGGTATCTCATATAGTTGTTGAATCTGATTGGTTATAATCTCCCTCTTGTGGGCATTAGGCCTGGGCATTCGGGTATTCGGATCGGTTCCGGATCCTACCCGATCGGTTCCGGATCTTTCGGGTAGAGGACTTTTCTACCCATATAGGTACCGAAATGTTTTCGGTTCGGTTCCGGTTCGGTACCTATCGGTTTCGGTTCGGTTCTGGGTACCCGAAATATATATATTTATATATTTTATTTAAAAAGACTTATCATGACCGTAAGCGTTTGTTTAGCTTTATTTAAAAGACTTTACTCGAACCTATAATCTGTACCGTTCGTTAACTGCCTTAGTTTATAGATTTAATTTAGATAGATAGGAATTTTTATTCGATCTTGGTTAGTGAAGCTGCTCTTACCATCTTGACCGTTCGTTAGAGTGACTTTGTTTACAGACGTTTTCCTAATAAGTACGATCTTGACCGTTCGTCAGTATGACTTTTGTTTTTGTATTTTTTTCGGCTAAATGTATGACTTTTGTTTACATATAGACTTTTTATCGGACAGAGTACTATTTTGTTTACTTTTGGTGTAATGAACCGAAATCAATCTCTTTTTGATTATTTAAATTTCAAAATTCACACATAACCGATCTCAATTGGTATGCGTAAACTAAAACAAGTAGTACATAATAATAACATAAAACAACAACAATTATGTGAAAGTCATATCGAGCATTTTTCTCACGGATGTTTATTAATATTATTGCCATGTCATCGATATAAAATAAAAGAGAAAGAGGGGTTATATTCTAGATTAGATCATGGAGAAACTAGGCAAGTTTGTGTCGGTTGCTTGCTTGTTCGATTCTGGTCTTATGTTTCTATTTGTCCATCTACTTCAAAACCGTATTTCGGTTATTAGTTTCTGCTCGAAGCCCTTTGCGATTAGAACCCTTCTTATCTTCGAAATGCTGATTCGGATTCTATTTTAGCATCACTCATGAACTCCATACTAATTCTGAAAGTTTGATATTTTCCACTTGGATTTTTTTTTTGTACAAACAAAAAGAGGAACCATAGCCAAAAGGCCCAAATCCATCCACAGACTAACCTTTAAATCATTTTTCTAAACTTAAAAAGTGATTTACCAATTCAACTATGTACTAGCTCATCATTCAAAATTATAAACTTTTCAGCATCATGAGTTCAGATATAACGGGTAAAAGATTCACCAACCAAATATGGTTTATGGTTTATGGTCTAAGGATCCTAGAAATTATGGACTTTAATCCGATACTTTTTTTTTTATTACCCAAAACACAAGTGTCAAAATCTCAAACCACTACACTTAAAAACCTTAAATTTGTACAACCTAACCAACGTTAAAATCAAGCACATGTTAAAGCCAAATTATCTACCAAATTAGCCCTCAAATAATTAATTTCTCTAACGGCCAAGTCTTATTACACACTAACAATAGAAGCGTAGACTGATTTATAAAATAGAGAATATTTGTAACCACATCTTTGATACGCCGTGGAGCTTTGAATCTGATAAATAGGTTAAATTATAATACGAACAAGCTTTAGTCCCAATTAGGAGAGAGAGTTGCAGTAAAATGATCTCCACAACAAGATAAGCGTCCAAATTTCACTACTAGGTTATGCGATAACAAAAAGAGTTTTTTTTTTTCGTTTTTAAGGAGTGACATGTTCTATGAATCAGTGGCCATATCCAAGTTTCCATCGTTAAATTTGTCTTTTGTCGAATGATTCAGGAAATTCCCAAGCAGCCTTTGATCCAACACCATGTTAGGTACCTGCACAGTATAGATATATTTACTTCTTTAGAACAGCAGAAACAGAGAAATAAGAGGAGAGAATAAGAAATGAAAACCTTATCCCCGAAGAACATTTTGGTGTTACGAGCAATGGCATCGATGAACTTTAGTTCGAGAAATTCAGGAGTGAGCTTCAACTTGTTTGCTTCAGCTTCTCTCAGTACACTTGAGACATTGATCAGATTTTTTTTTTAAAAAAGTAAACATTAGACCCATATATTCTGTTGTTCTATGTTCTTTGTTTGTTTATTCTTCAGAAAAAAAAAATAAATAAATGAGAATTAAGACTGGTAATTACCGGTAGTAATCTGCATCCGCAAGACTCTTTTGACGATCCAGATACATCTGCTTCTCTCCTTGAACTGTCTTTCTCAGTCAGCTTCTGTTGCATTAGAATCTTGCTAACATTGGCGTTCTTCTCGGCTTCACTAATGGCCATTATTTTCTTTGTATCTGCCTCTTTCTCAGCAACTCTTTATTTCTCAATAGCAATCAAGACCTTCAAAAATCATTACATTCCAACTGAGTTCTGTATTACTAAACAGGATCCTATTTATCATGCATTATAACAGAATTGGAAATATGAGCAAACCAGAGGGGGTCAAATAAAAAAAGAGTGTACCTTAGTACGTTCCTCTTCCATTTGCTCAAAGTTGCGCCTCACACTCTCTGGGATCTTCGGCTTTGTGACACGCACGCTAATAATCTCAATTCCTGGAGCATAACGTGTGCAATCAGCCTGAAGAGCCTCTTTCATTCGCTCATCAATCTGAAACACATTTAATTGAGTGAAATTACTTATCATTGTCATTGTCGAGACATCAAACACAATGTAAACATTATCCAAAAGAAAGCTTCATTCACTGCTATGAACCTGTCGATAAGACGAGCATAATATTCGAACTGAATTTCGAACAGCAATGACAATCTTATAAACAGTTAACATCGAAGCTTATATGTTTCCGTTAAGGTTACTACGGCTTCCCAATCTACTCAAGTACCTGGTCAAAGATGTCAATGTAGACTTGCTGAAGCGAATAGGAGCTGCAAAACTGGTTGATCTCATGGTGAATCTTATCATATATCCATGTGTTGTCATAGTCCACACCATAGTTGAGCAAAGTGTCATAGACATAATCCTTACGCAGTCGATTAACAACCTAAAATCATTTTACTCGGGTCAATACATGTAATTAAGATCAACAAACTGAAAACAGTGGGAAGTGCTAGCAGAGAAACCAATATATTAGGGACTTACTTCTATCTTCTCAAAGGTAATCATGACACCTCCTTTGGTACCACATGGTATATCCTTCACCTAAGGGCACACAAGATTAAATAGTTAAAAAAGCTACAATCTAAACACATCCAAGCTCTTTATGGTATAAGACTCACTTGATCTGTTTGGAGAGTAACTTGAACAGGCTCGTAGTTAGTAATGAAAGGGAGCTTCAGTTGAAAACCTGAAGCAACAAAAGGTGTTTCAAATCGGAAAACAGCAGAAGAACGAAACCGTGATAACACTGAGAAAAGGGGGATAACTAGTAATAATACCAGGCTCTGTAATGATGTTCAGAAGAGCACCACCTCTCCAATACGCTCCAACGTAACCTTCAGGAACTTGGTGCACCAACGATGAAGGAAACATAACCTGCTAACCCATTACACAAAGTAAAAAAATCTTTCTCAAAAACCATGATAAAAGTGAAAATTGACAACCAAATTATGTAAAATGAACTACTCGACAGCAACACAGAGCAAGATCAATCAAAACTTATGGAAGAAAAACGAAATCAGTAATGAGTTTCTTTGTCTCCCAAACAGGTATCTAAACATGTGTGGTTACAAACACACCAATCTACAAAACTAAAACGAAGCAAAAAACAAAAACTTTGGTTGAAGAAAATATAAAGTCATCAACTTTAAGTCAACTACGTGTACAAAGGTCCAACATTGCGATCGAGGGTATACTCAAAATCAAAGGAAGTATCTAAACATGTTAAGGAGAAACAGATTCAGTAAAGGATTAAAAAGTAGGAAGCGTGTATAAACAACAACGAATCTTTAATAAGAGATGACATATACCAAAGCGGCGATGGCGATGAAAACACCAAACGCAATGAAAATCGAAGACACGTCGCCTCCGGGTTCACCGACGGGAGGACGGTGACGGGTTTCAGTTCTACGTTGCTGAGGATCCATGGAGAAATTTGGTTGAACGGGTTTGTTCAGTGGAAAATTGGAAAACTTGGAAAGGGGTTTTTGATTCAATGAGGAACAAGTACAAATGGGGTTTTTATATAGTGTAGGAGGAAAGACCGTAACTTTGTGTGTGAGATTGGTATCGGACCGTTGGATGGAGTAGGGTTAATGGGTCACGGGTCGGGTTACTTGACTGAAGAAGTCACTGCAGTCCCGATTTCTGTTCCAAAACCTACTACACCTGCAACAGAAACACCGGAGGTCGTTTCTCCCGCTCCTACTCCAACCGCCGATAATGAGAAGATTGAAACTGCTGATAAGGCTCCGAATCCTCTTCTGCTTGTAAGGCAGGTTTAAGCTTTAGTGTTGTTCTGTAGTTTTGGCGACAATAATGGTAGATAAGATTCAAAACATTTCTTCTGTAGTTTTTTTCTTACAAAGAGAGACACGATCGTTGGGAAGTGAAACCTAAACGTAGTGAATTTTTAACTCGTCGTTATGCATCGTATATTCAAGTCATCGTGAACGAAAAGGTGATGTTTGTCCTGTTAAACTTGTAACACATTTCTAACTCTAAGTGCGTTAGAATGTAGTTTAACCAATGCAAAGAATGTTAAAACCAATGCATTTATCCCAAAAGA